GTTGTTATGATGGATGATCATAATGTGGATGATGATAATGATGAAGAGAATGATCAATATGATGATGATAGTGATGGGATAATGTTATGGATGATGATAATAATAATAATAATAATAATAATAATAATAATAATAATAAATAAATATTATTTATTTGCCATTCAAGATAATTCATTGCCAGGTAAGAGAATAGGCAATTAACCTGAAAAAATAATTGTGATGATTATGATGATGATGATGATGGTGGTGGTGGTGGTGATAATAGTGATGGGGATGATTATGCTAATGTTGATAATAGTGATACTGACGATGGTAATGATAATATTAATGATGATGTGATTATTAATGATGATGATGAAGAGGGCAATGTGGAAAATAACGAAGATAATGATGAAAAAATTAAAAAAATAATAAATTTTAAAATGAATAAATAAATTTAAAAAATAAGTAAATAAATAATAAATAAAAATAATAATACTAATAGTAATAATAATAATAATAATAATAATAATAATAATAATAAGTAATTATAATAATAATTACTATAATTTATTGTAATAATGATGGTGATGGGACGTGGGGGGGGCATTGCTAACGATGATACTGACAGTGGTAATGATGTTAATAATGACAATGATGGGAATGATAATAATGATGATATGATTATTGATGATGATGAAGGCAATGAGATTAATAACGATGATGATGGTAATGATGGTGATACAGATGATGATAATAATGGTATTGGTGATAATGATAATAATATGTCGGTCTTATATAGCGCTTTTGGATAATGATTTAATGATGCTGACAATGATGACCGTCTAATCAATGAATTGTAGTGGTCACAGCTCATCAAAATGCAAATTCAACAGACATTTGACTATGTCCATTTGTTTGATTAACTGTCACCAGACATTGATTACTCAACAGCAGTCTTCAGCATCATTAAATACATAAATAAGTATTTACCATTGTAAGCAAATAACTCTTTAATTTTCATTATCTGCTTATTTGCATTGATTTCTTTTAATTTTCTTCTTGTCACCTGCTACAGGTGCAAAGATTTGATAATGCTAAGATTCATGGCTTTGGCTGGATATAAATCAATTGCAGTAGAATTTCTCTTGTATAAATCCCATCGTTTTTCAATTTCCTCAGTAGAAAACCAGAAAGGAAGTTGACAGCCATTGTGTCAAATTAGTCTCACATGGACTGTGATTTTACTGGCCAATTAGAATTGTTCTTTAAAATATGTTTCAATTACCGCTCGTTGCTTCTGTGCATGGAGGTTGCGACGTCTCATCGATTTCTTGAGTGTTAACATCAATGGATTTGATGAGCTAAAATAATTTTGCCATGTTAATTGCCTGCTAAATGGTCGATAAAAATTATGATACTAAAGCCCGCAATTAAATAATTTCCAAACACCAATTGGCCAACATGATCTTTTCAATGGAAAAAGAATGTGTTATGAAATGTTGAAATACAACTTGCTCTAGTTTTATAGCCATGGCGTGATGCCAATCGCTGTGGTGTACATGGGTGGGGGATGATGGAAGAACACGATGATAAAGTAGGCGGTGCTAGAGCTGGAAATATTGTGATTTTTCACTACTTAAAATGAAATTGCAAGTTAGTATAAAAGCTTGGCCTTCATAGAGTGGTCGACCAACCAATCAAGTTGAATTTTTATCTCAAAATATCATCATTGTAGCTTTGCAGCTAAATTACAATGATGCATATAAAAAATAGACCTAGGTCTAAACATTGCACATAGATTAAATCAACAATCAATCTCGGGATGAGGAATGTAGTTTTTGTCATAGCGTACCTGAAAGATTCCTCATTTGTTCTTTAAATACGTTCAACCAATATGGATAAACATTGAACAGAAAGTATCAAAAGCGTTTAGAAAATATCTTTAGCTTTAGAGTCCATTTTATTCTGTGATATTGAACAAAGTTTTTCAGTAAATAATATTATTATTGTAACAAAATACTTAATTTATAAATGCAGAGTAGGCAAAACTATTCCAAATATCAGAACACTAATCTGTACCTTAAAAATTATTTAAATGTTGTAAGATGCGTGGCTATACGAAAGATAAGCAATAAATTTTCGACAGAGAATGGTCAAAATATGTTAATATGTTTTTACAGTATTATTTTTCAAATATGTTCTTGGTTTAAGCTTTACTGTTTAGTTTATATGGATATAAGACTTACTTTCCTTTTGTCTGTATGTTTTGTAAATGTGATATGAAATGATAATAATAATAAAAAAATAAAAAAATCAACAATCAAAATATATAAATTCAAAGGTAATGTCTTCTGTTCAATTCCTGACGTAAAGTTATCATGGATGTGGCATGTGTTTTTATATTATGTTTTAAAAACTACAATTAATCATCATTTTCAGGTTCAATATTATGGTCGTACATCTTTAATCCAATTTAAGGCATCTGCAGATGTTTACACACCACCTCCCAGAGGGTTTCTATGTCAGCAAGTATACGAATACCAGTATTTGCTCACTCAGTATTCATCTTTAGTTAGTGTCTGTTCAATACACCATTGTTGCTTGGTCTGCCTGTTATTTGCAGTTGATGGGCGGTTATTATTCCATGGTGTTTAATATTGTGAGGCACTATGAATACAGTACCATGCCAGCATCCATATTATTACATCAGCATCATTATTTGAGGTTGGAAGGAATATAATCACTACAGTATATGCAATGATACTCACTGCAAAGGAGCTGTAGTCCGTACCTTGGTGGTTAATATGCCTGCTGTCCAGCGCCATGGTCCTTTGTTCGAATCCTGTCAAGATTCCCCAAGCCTTGTAATGAGAGAGCCTGTATTGCATTTATTTCCATTCTGTACTATAAAGGAAATGGAAGAGTTATTTTCTACTCAATAAGAATATAAATTTATAAGAAATAATAAAATAATAAATAATTTTTAAAAATTAGTCACAGCATGGGTAATTGATTTTTGGTGATTGCATAATAAGTGCAAGAGGCACTTTTCAATTGCAGTAAGATTTCTTTTTCATCACTTTCATAGAAATAATTTTTCAATTCCATTATTCAGTATTTGTATGTTTCCCTTTTTCATAAATTTTCTTCTTGTTATCTCTATCAAATATATATAAGCTTGAAAAATTTTGGTTACTGCAAATACTGGTTTTGAATCACCTGACATAGAAAAATACTTGAATGATTGTAGATTTACAGCCCTACAGATGGTGATGTAAAATACGACAATATTCACATCAATTACCAAATTGTCTGTTAATTAGTGTATGATTACAAGTCTGATGTTTTCATGGTAACAATTGTTCTACCTGCAGATGTAATAGACGACGATCGACCTTAAAAACAAACATGAAATGGACTTTGCAATTAAACATACCACAATGCTACAGTACTAAGTGATCCTTTGAAATTAATAAACACTCAAAATTAAGTCGACCCTTTGATCCGAATGATTGATTATTATGTCTTCTACGTCTCCGGTATAGAATAAGTTGTGAGTATTTGCCAGTGTTACTAGGAGACCTAAAATGTTTTCATTCTCTACAGTACTTTTCATTTCATTTTATTTATTGTTGATATTTTATTAGTTAATTTATGGGCAATTTCTTGGAACTTCCAGAAGGCTGACGATAGCAGATAACAGAAAACTTCATTGTAACAAAACAGTTGCTGATGCCCAATACAAACATGCAATGTTTATGGTTGCTAGTCATAATTAGTAATTTGTCTTCACTAAACCGTCATAAAACTCTTGAAACACGCCATTTTTCAAAGTAACATATTCACCAGATTGTTAGTCCATGGAATATGTAAAGCATTTTGATCGTTGTAAATGCACCATACAAGAAGGATTTTTTTTTATATTGCGAGTGGTGTAGCGTGTGAAGCATGCGAAGGTCAGGGGTTCGATACCGATGCCTATCACACTGCTTTTGTTCTTGGGCGAGATACTTTATCGGCATTTTAATAATAATGTAGTTTTATATAGTGCACAAGATGCTCAAGGCGCTTGATATGTGGACTAGGAACTCAATCAAAGACTTTCTTCGCCCCTGAGGGTTCCTTCGTGTCTGTGCTACCCGGTAACCTGGTATCAGCAACTCTCGTCGTCCACCACATGTGCCGTCTGTTCCAGTACACCGAGGTACCCCCCCCCCCACTCATAGGATGTACTGGGTTCTCTATAGTGCACACGAGCCATTGTATACACTGGGCCTACGGTTTATAGTTGTTACCGAGAAGACTTGTTTTACCACCAGAATCATAGGCAAGTGTGCCGTTCGAACCAGCATGATATTTTGGCTGTAGCTTTCAGCGCCCCTACTAACCGCTCGGCCATTTGACTCGCTTTGCATGCAGAAGTCATTTGACTCGTCTTCACGCAGAAGCATATATGGGTACTTGGTAGGAGGTGAATGATTCTGATTACACACATAACTAGGAACGGAGGAGGATGCACGTTGTGCATTATTGATCCTGTATCCAATGACCATAGAAAAAAGCTCCTTGAGCAGTTTCTGGATATGTGCGCTACTGTATATAAATCCAATAAAATAAAATTATATAAATATAATATTACTTTATCTGCATTTATTCTTCCTAGGCCTGAGTCAGCTGAAGATCAAAGATTTGAGGAGCGTATTAAACTTCATCATCTCAAGAAACTGATGCGAAAATTTGCTCAGCATAAACCCTGTCTCTTATACACATCTAGATGTGTATAAGAGACAGGTATATAACAGTGTATGTAGGCTTTCATACTAATTCATTTGTAAGATAATCCTTAGAACCTATCCTCTTGAAAAAATAAAGCATTTGGAAACATAAACTAACATTTATTTGTTGTTTGCTATTTGGTATTTATATAGCACTTCCCTTTAGATTACAAAGTGCTTTGTTTTCCCTAGTCATTGAGTACACATGCTTAATTGTGTTACTTCCAATTTTGTTGCAGTAGCATGCAAGCCACTATGTACCCATCTGCTAAAAGAGACCAGTGAAGTGCACAGGGAGGGATTTAAGCCCCGACCTGGAGGTTTGAAACCAAATCGTTCCCCCTGTCTCTTATACACATCTAGATGTGTATAAGAGACAGGCATAGGCCAGAGGGGGTGTGTGTGTGTGTGTGTGTGTGTGTGTGTGTGTGTGTGTGTGGAGGATTTTGCTGCTACATTTCCATACATTCCAGTGCTTTGATGCACACTCTACTCCTCATAACACAACTCGATGTGTTATGAACAATAATTTGCCATTTATATAATAACAACTTTATTTTATAACGGTCAAAAAACTCGTTCACCCAAGTGGGTGTTCTTCCACGAGGCCGTATGGACATTAAACAAAATAATTGTGTTAGATTAAAATAATTAAGTGTTAGTACAAAGAAAAAACAAATATATATAATACATACTAATGGTTATTACATTACTATGTTTCTTTTAAAAAGTTCTAGTGTGCTTGAATTTTTTATATTGCTGTCTGTTCATTAAGTTCCCTTAATTTCTTCATTCCCTCATCTACTGCTCATTTTTACTTTTATTTCTTGAAGGTTGACACCTCGGCCGATGGATACGTAGACTGGAATGAGTTTTGTACGTATATGCTAATGCAGCTCCGCGAGACAGACTACATGCGACTCAAGAAATTCATTCCTTTCTCAGCAGAACCAAAGATACGGCACATTGTTCAAAACAGGGTAAGCTGCTGAAAATTTAATTGATTGCCACCTAAGCTACTGAAAATAGCTTTTTTAATTTTCACGTGTAATATTTTTCATCGTCCACAGCAAGAGTGTACACATAGCATAACGTCAACAGAGAACCCGACCAGATTCATCACAATCAGCAAAGAAGGTATTTTGGGTGTATTTGACATGCATCTCCACCTTGAGAAATGGCACGAGGTCGTATCTGAGAAGGAAGATCCACGAGGAACAAAGCGACGATTCAAGACGTGGTACTCGGATATTGTTTACATGCCAAATGTTCACAAGCTTGCAATAACTTCTACTGGACGTGATATACGATTTTGGGATGTTTCAACGAATTCATATTTTGAAGAGTTCCATCTTTATGGTAAGATAAAAAAAAAAAAAAAAAACAATCTTGTGATTTTCAGATGTCAGAATAAATTATTAATATTATTTTCTTGGTATTTTTCAGCTCTGAATGATATGCCGATATGCATGGATTATTGGTATGACAAAAAGGTAACAAACTATAAATTAATAAATGTTATCCATTTAGAAATATGCGGGATTTTTTTCTACAAAAATTACATTTATATCAAAACGGAAGAAAGAAACCTTGATTAGGAAATACCAGGATGGTTGTCCGCCGGGGATAGTTTATTATCGGATATTGTTTCATTGTTATTATTTCTACTATTTATTTATGAGCGGACCTTTCATTTATATTTCCGTGTAAAATGTATTTTACAAATGACAATAAATTATACTGAGACGGGTAAAATTCAATTATATTTCTATAAATGTGATTTTTTTCTTTTATTGCCTTCTAGAATCTAGATGGGGGGAGATAAAAATATAACTGAATTTTATCCTTCTCTTTTGATGTAAATGTAATTTTCTAATTTATTCATTTAATGCTTTCATTCTGTAGAATCCTGCAGCTGAGTCATTACTAGTGGTTGGTTTTGACATGGGTTCAATCCACCTGTTTTACTTCAGTCAACCAATGACAAGTCTGTTTGCAACGCTATTCAAGGAATCAGAAGGCACGCAAAGAATCTGGACACAGGTTGGTCGATGGAAGACATTTTTATGATTTTTGTTCATACAGCTTTTTTGAGTGTGATTCGACGATGGTGAAAATCATGATAGTAATGATATTATAATGATGATCAGGATGAGGGTGGTGATGCTGATGGTGGTGGTAATGGTGATTATGAGTAGGCAGAGTTGAAATAGTATTGATTACAATAATGACGGGATTATGGCAGTGATGATAATGACAACAAATTTATGTATGCAGTACCCTGCAATCCTAAAGTATGCAGTAACAAATATAGCCTAGGCCTGTATGCTTACAATCATCTACTTATTTTTCTGTGAAGTTTTTTTCCTATCATACATAATGTAGGATCTACACCTCCATCAAAAGTTTGTCCGTGTCGTAGTACTACCCAACATCCACAAACAGGAGATGGTTCGCAAGGTTCGCTACATCCCGGATAACGACTTTATTCTATCGTCAAGTAGTAGCAACAAGACTTCAATGGTTATGATGGATATTCAGGGAAAGAAAAAAACTTACGTGTTTCGACTAAGCAAGGTTAATTCTCATTTACTTAATATTAATATAAAAAAGTTTAATAAAAGAAAATATGCTTTTTTTGAAGGATTCATAACTATATATACAGGGCACTATATTCTCTCATTTATAAGCATTTACTTTTCTGTCAATTTCCAGGGTGTAGAATGTTTTGATTTCAACAAAGCTTTAAACGTGATAGCCACTGGAAGCATCGACCACTGTGTTCGTTTATGGAATCCGTACGTGGAGGATAAACCAACGGCAATGCTGTGTGGTCATATGATGTCCATTGTAGATGTTATCATACACGAATCTTATCACCAAATATTTAGTTATTCAAAAGATGGGGTAAGATAATGTAGAATTAGTAAGTGTTGACTTACTGCAGCTGATTGTCGTATTCCTAAAACATAATAATATAATTAGCAATAGTTGTATTTCATACACTAGATGGAAATTGTTGGACAAAGGGTTGAATTTTATATTATTCTTGCAGGTAGTAAAAGTTTGGGATTTAAAAGAATACACATGTCTGCAAACAGTTTCAATTAGATTTCCATCGCTGCAACATTCTCGAGTGCCCGAATATGGCGCGGCTTGCCTGCATATCTTTCCACCTCCAATTCACACGATGATGGTCACGTGTGGAGATTATGTAGCAATGCTGAAAATTGGCCGTGTCGATGCAAACATGAATCGTGGCCTACAGACCCATAAGGAACCTCTTTGTAGTGCAATATATAACACAAGATTTAATCAGGTAAGCATACTACTGCCGAGGGGGGGGGGGGGAATTAGACAGTGTCAAGGCTCAGGCCCTGCAGGGGCCAGAGACAAAACAAATTTTTTTAAAATAAATTGAACGTTGATATTGAAAACAATATATATAAATAATATATATAATCAATGTTGTTTATAAAAGTATTCTCGATTTGTTGAAGGTTGTGACAGGTGCTGATGATTCCAGCATCTCTGTTTGGGACTTTGAGACCGGAGCTAAATCCCACACAATTAACAAGGCTCACGGCGATGAGGAAATCACATGTATGATCTTTACAACCTCCGGGAGGAGGCTCATCACTGGAGCTAGGAACGGAAGCATTAAGGTAACAAAAAAGAAGATAAAACATGATTGTTCAATGCCAAGCTGTAGATACACAGCCTATCAGTACATACCAACATAGCAATCCAGCTTTGACTATTCAGCCTATGGCTTAAATTCTGGCATACAGTTTCTGGCATATTGGCTACACAGCCAGAGAGTGAGAAATACAACATAACCTACCTGGATTGGGGGGAACAATAAACACACAGGAAACTATGAAATCTTCACTGCACAGCCCACTGCTATACCAGCAGCCTCTCACCCTGCAACACACTGCTCTAGCAGATTGAACAATGCAAGTGAGCTAACAAAACACAGCAAGAATGGCTAACTGACTTGCATATACAGGTGGACCCTGCATTCACAAAAACTTTCTGTGCTTAGATATAGTTGTTTTTTTTTACAATTAAACTAGAATCAAATTTAAATATCGCATATCAAGCACATAACATTGTCCAAACCAATGTTGTAAGCTCTATTTTAGTAGTGGGCCATGTTTTTTGCTCATTTCCAAACATTTGCAAACACAAAACGTTATCATAACATTCACGAACGTTGTGGTTTGGTATGTCGCAAAATATAGTTCACACAACATTGTAGGAACATTATGATGCTGTGAAATTAGGTTATAAGTACGTCCTTATGGTTCTACAAAATAATGGCTACGTTCAGACTTGGAGATAATCCAGACTTGAGTTAAGCCCGGCTCAACGTTAAGCACGGCTTAACTTTGCCGGCCCGTCCAGACTAGCGGGTTTAGCTGTGCGAAAACTTGCATAATAATGAACCGTAACCAGGAAACGTGTTTCAAAACATTGCTCGCGAAACGTACGCTCGCTCACAGCGTACGTAATGGAATGCTCATATTGGTCATTTCGTAACCCAAAGTCAATGCAAGACCCCCCCCCCGTAACGAATAAAGCCCGGCTTAGAAAAGTTAAACAGGGGGGGGGGGGGCGCGCGCCAGGCCCCCCCGTAACGAATAAAGCCCGGCTTAGAAAAGTTAAACAGGGGGGGGGGGGGCGCGCGCCAGGCCTAGTTTTACTATGAACACAGCCTGGCTTGAGATAAGCCACCTAGTTCGGATCCACCTAGTCTGAACTAGGCCAATGTTTTTAAAACCAAACTGTAATGTTATTATAACGTTCTAATATCATAATATTGTTAGCTGGGTTATGCTTTGTCCACACTGACATCACCATGCCCATATATGGCCGAATCAGAAATATGTCACAACAGCTTCATTGTGTGAACACAGCTTTACTTCTTAGTTTTATTGTTATCAATTTATTGTGTTTTGCACAGACTAGCAATTTTCAATTTTTGATTTCAGGTTTGGAACTTTCAGAATGGGCACAACATCCATCAGTTGGATGTTGTCGATGATGTGGAGATCACAGGTCTTGTGTCATTTGGTGACAAGAAGGGAATTCTCTCAGTTGGCTGGAATCGCTTGATTGTCAAGTATGATGATAGTGATTCGGATGTGAGTTGCATAAATTTGTAATTTTTTTTTAAATCTTATTTTTCCAACAGTGTATATATTCCTGTAATTGGCAAGTTTTCTTGGTAGGAATCCAGTTTTTTTAAAAACATAAATAAACTTACATATACACAATATTGCAATTGTTTTTTTCTGTAGATTAATTTTGTCAAGGCAGACCTCAGCTGGGAAGGGGGTCAACTCCACCAGGATGACATTCTGACAATGGATTTCTTTCCCCCGAATCTTCTTGCTACCGCAAGCTTTGACGGCCAGCTTGTGATATGGAGTGTCGAAACAGAGAAACCATTCGTTCACCTGAGAAAGGGCCAACCAACTGTAATGTAAACAAAAACTTCATGTTTTGTATTATGGTTGCAGAATGTTTAAAATCATCGTTTTGTAAACTTTAATAACAAAAAATAGTGAATAGCAAAATATTCTCTGAAAATTGTGATGTTGGATATTTCTTTATCACAGTACTCAGCAGCTGAAGGAAATTCTTTCCACATCTGGTGTGAGTGCACCGAGTAGAAGACAATCTGCCATGACGACAGCATCAAGCAACTCAAGGCCAAGCACACGGCACAGGCAGAAGCACAAACCCCCAGCAGGGTAGGTTCGCAAAACTTACGCAGAGTTGGTACACAAACCCCCAGTAAGATGTACACAATACTTTGATGGTACAAACTCCCTCCGCCCAGCCAGTGCATCCTCTTCCCGAATAGTAGGACTAATAGGACAGTGATTGGCCATGATTCTAAAGGAATTAAATAAAAAGATAAGAGCATGCACAGTTCTAACTATGAAATTGGCTTATTTAGGAATTTAAAAAAAATGTTCAATAGAAAGATTTTTTGTGGTAAAGCTTCAGAACAACTTGAGCTTCTTTCTATTACAGGTTTTCCCAGGCACCAGTGGACAAAGTAATGTTTCTGAAGCACCGTCTCTCACAAGGTACGACAGATGCCCCAACGTTTATCTCCAGCGAAGCAGGCTATCTTCACTTCTGGTGCGTGTATGGCAGTAGTCACTATAGAGGTAGGGTACAAAGGTCACATTAAATGGAGTTTGGGGTCAAGGGAGGGGAAAGACATTTTTTCTTATTAAACCATCCTGAAGATTTATCCTCATTCTACTCATTCATATGGTTTTTTTTTTCCAGGTTATTTTTATGCTAGTGACAGTGAAGACCGTGAGGAATCTGTGTTATGTATGTGCAGTAACCATGACGACACCTTCCTGATCACAGGTGACACAAAGGGTTACGTCACAATATGGGACATTGCTGAACATGCTCTGTATCCATCAGATTACGTACGTACATATATGTTGCAAAAAAATTACAATGACGAATGCAGTTGATATAAATCAATATGCAGCACCACCAAATTTGAATTAAGTGGTAGGTAGCGCAGGGGAGGGTCAGAGGGTGTAACACCTGTCAAATTAAAACCATTGTCAGCCACAATTCGGATGAAAATGGGGAAAATAATTTTTCTGATTCTTTGTGCATAATGGTGCAACATCACTGATTAGCTTAAAATTACCTTGTTTTTTAGACCTCCATCAGTCTGGCTCCACATATTTCAGATTGAATGGTGTTGATTTTAGGTCATGGCTCAACTAGAGCAATATAAACATGTTAACACAAATGCAATACTACTGGACCTATGACCCTACTTGTGTTTGAATCGACATGTCTACATTACACTAGTGTGGACCAAAGCCTAAATATAGATGACATGCACAGCACCTTGAATGTAATTTGCATAATTCTCACCAGGAAATTGAACAGCCACCTGTAATAACCACCTGGCATGCACACGATACCGCTCTTGTCAGTGTGGACTTGATAGACTTTGAGAACCAGCAGTTCCTGTTGACAGCGTCTACTGATTGTACTGCTAGGCTCTGGACCATAGAAGGCCACTATGTTGGAATGTTCGGCCAGAAGCACCAATGGAACATCCGAAAACCAGAGTCTTACAAGTACCCTTTGTGAGTAAATCTGATTTAGGATTTCATATTTTCCATATTTTTTTTTTAAACTTGACTGAAAATTAATGAATAATTTTTTACAAGAACGAGTCTGACAGACAGACAAGAGTAGCTTGTACCGGTTTACCAGCTAGCTCAGGTATAGACACCATAGAGCTATTAAACAACTAGAGTGCTGACAAGATGGCGAAGCAATGCAGAGTTGCTGCTGAAGTAATTTCAGTAATCATTATTATTAATAATATTAATAAATGATTAAGCTAGCACAGGCAAAAACAAGGCCAATTGGAGTGTCTAATATTAAAAATAATGTACTGAGGAATGAAAATCAAAATCATATTCCCTACAACGCAACACTTGAGTTTTACTCTGTACTCAAAACTTTCAAGTTTAATTTGAGGGCACCTCATTGAAAATGAAAATGATGCTTAGGCATATTTTGATTCACTGAATCTACGGCAATCATCTTTATGAGTACAGATAGTTCTGCGTATTGCGTTGGAGTTCGCGCTCTAGTATTCTTATTATATCTCTATGAGAAACACTTGGGGAGAAGCAAGTTACAGCAAGACAGCAAGAGCTAGTCCACACATCAAGTGCTTTGAGGCTTCGGTATAATGCACCATATAAATCTAACTACATTACATTAATTTCCAAGTTTTAATCTTTAGTAAATATGATTGTTAGGTGTAATTGCTAATCTTTATTTTTTTTTATTTCGGTAGAAACCCTTGGTCAGCTGATATGGAAGACATTCTTAATGAAGCAAGTGAAATAAGTGGTTAGTCTGCATATGCATAAATAATATTTTGGAGTGGTGCTCTAGCTTGGTGGTTGCCCTCAAATCCCTGGGTTCTGGGTTCGACTCTTGTGAGATATAGCATTTCTTTTCTCACAACTATAACCCATTCCACTCCCTAAACCCTCATAAAGTGTTGGTTTATAAAGCATCGTTTCATCCTGTAAGTGCAAGTGTACTTGTTGATGGATGGTGAAAATAAATAAGAAAATAAAATAGAGGTAAACGTAAAGGTAGTTCCATATTCATTAATAGACGTAAGGGAATGAGCTACTAGGAGGCCATCGTACTAAGCCTCTGCATTATGGCCAGTTTCTTTCCATGCTGCCTTTTTAACTTCCCCCTTTGTATTTTAAGCAGGTACCCACTTATACTCCTTGGTGATGAGAGAAACATAGGTAAATACAAGAGAAATGCATAGCGAGGGTTCGAACCCCCAACCCCAAGGTTGAGAAACTAAAGCGCAACCACTGCACCAACCACTCCCCGTAAGATATATTCAGAATGAATAAGTACACCATAAAATAATATGTATCCTTTTTCCTACCTTTTTGTGTTGAAGATGTATGTATAATTATAATATTAATGTCAAATATGAACATTCTTCCTGTAATGCGCAGGTGAAGAAGAATTGGATTTGGAATCAATCGAAGCAGATTATCCCATAGAAATCAAAATCCAGGACTTTGACGAAACTGGGGATATAGGACAGGGCGATGCAGAAACCAGCCAAGATAAAAATAATGTTCCACTTGCAAATGGGACAAAAATCGAAGCCACATTTCCAGTAACAAAATACGAAACAATTAGCAAATCACCAGAATCTACCGAAGCTCACACAGACCTTATCACACCATCTAATAGTATAGAAGCTTCAATTGGCCATAAACGGGTTCGTCCACAGACAAACTCATCAGTGCATAGAGATAGGCTGACAGCATCAAGAGGGATAACACGGTCAAGAACTTCATTCTCGCATTTTAGTTGCAAGAAGACCCTTGTGAACTCTAGTGACCTTGATACTCTGCCAACTGCTCCATCGGTAAGCGTTAATTATTTTTATTTTATTTCATTTCAAAATCCACACCAACGAAGCCGCAACTTACAGGGTGGATAAAACAAAAAAAAGGATACAAACAACAATTACTGTAACCTAACATCAAAAATACAATAAATAAGTTTGTTTTTAAATTCATTAAAGGAATCAAAGAAAATATCACTACTGTAAACTAAATTAATACAGTAATTATAATATTTACTTAATCTACAAATAAATCCTGTCTTAACATCGACTCTACCGAAAGAAACAGAAAATAAATTAACTTGTCTCAGTTGTTTGGGAACTAAAAGCAGAGGCAAGTTCGCAAAATCAAAACGATGGTTAAACACTTTATAAAGAAACTCATGATCATTAATATTTCTACAAAGAATTGGGGAAAGTAAATTACATTTATAATTATTTTCATTAAAATGTACCTAATAAAAGGCATGTGAAATTTTTTCGAGAATATCAACATGAAAATGACGGAATTAAAATAAATAACTGGATGGATTAAGGAATTAAAAAGTGGTATTCTGATGTATTTTATATTATCTAATGATTTTTCTGCAGTGTGTGTCTAACTTAGCAAATAACTCTTTTTACAGAGCATTTTGGGGCGCCGTATCGATGAGGGTTTAGCTAGAATAACTCAAAGCCGTCAAGAACGTCGACATCGATATGGTGAAGTCAACTCCAAAACAACAGCCAGGTTTGGCAAACTATGTTCACCATTCCAGGCACTAGCGACTCTGGTATGGTTAATGGGTTTTTCAGATATTATTATATACAGTGTTACACATAATCATTATTCATGTAACTTTTTATGTAAATGTGTTGCAAGACTCTTTTAATTTCAACACTGTAACATTTAAAAAATTAAGAAATACAATTTTGTTGTAGGAAACAAGTGAAGTACGTTTTCCTCGGACTCTACCAATGACGCCACGGATGGTCAGTCGAGGTTTGACGTGTTCCAACGAGACAGAACTGCGATCACTGAACCTAGACATACCGATTGCTGAAAGCAAGTCAGATAAAGAACAAATGCCACTCACAGATACTGGTCAGAGGTCATCCATGACAGGAACACCCATCCTACCTCCAATTAAAACCTTTAATAGGTAGCACTGCAAATTTCAGTGCATATTAAAATGCATAGTCGATATTTAATATCTATGATCTATTTATTTTTACTTCATCCTCATCAGACGGTACTGGTACTGAACATTTGTATTGAAATCTTACTTTACATTACTGTCAGTAAAAGTTGGATTTCTGCAGGAAGTAAACAGTATCCTGAACTAAAAAAGAATATTTGGTAGCTAATTAGCCTGGGTTCCAGGCTCTAATTCTTTTTATTGCGCGCCATACCAAATTATATTGGCGTCCCATACTCGAAAAAAAATAAAAAGGGCTTGTCACAAGTCTTCTACTAGCTAGGTAGACATGCATTTTTTTCTCTTTATGAAAACAGAACTTTAGTACAATCAATACCAAAACTACTCTACCAGTAATTTCCGGTAAAACACCCCATTACCAGAAAAAAATATAAATCCTTTTTTCTAAAAATTTTAATGTAACAGTTTTATAGCTCATTTTCATATAAAAAGCAATTTGTATTTATTTTATTGTTTTCAGTTTATTAAAATTACACATAAATGTACAAAATGTTATTATTTCTATATAACATGCCTGGAAGTTTTATGCCCTATGTCCACTATTTTAAAAAAGTGAATATATAATAGTAAGAACTTTTAGAATAATTATTTTGATTAGAAAGGCGATTTTATTTTGTATATACTGTAATAAACAAATTTATCACGTAAGGATAAAGACAAAATATTTGTTATAATAAATTATATTTGTTTGTAATTATATCTAGCTTTTATTATGTTTGTCTCTGACTCCCATTTATATCTACTGAGTACCGTGTGTTCTCGTGTATAAGGCGATCCGCGTAAAGACGACCCCGAGTTTTAAAGATATTTGGACGATTTCTATATGTCAAGAGTAGACGACACTCGGAATTCCTCCTTTCGAAACAATCCACTTGGACTGCACTTAGCCTTCACGCAAATATCACCATATTTAATAGGCACTAATTCCAATGCCTATCCTTTGTAAAGTTGTAAAGCATTAATTAAAATCGGACTAATGAACAATTTGGTATTCATTTCTACAGTAGCATTGTTAAAGGCCACACACATGCCGCCCCTTCTCATTTGCTTTCTCTATGCCCTTCAGGACTATAGTGTTTAAATATACCTTTATTCTGTCGGTTGCTTTCAGGAAGAAGTTAAACCTTTGCTTCCATCTTCTCCAATCTTGATCAAAATCAAAGATTCCATTTCATTTCGTAAACAGTAGGCCTACTAATTTCAGTATTTTGACACCATAGAAACACACTATACACATCCGGGTCGTTTAATTCATGTAACAAAACCACCTGACTGGGCAATTAGCATATAACTAATTAACATAAATAACACATTAGCTCAACCCGCCCTCGATAAACTAAAACGTTATTTTATCTCACTATATTAATTGGATTAACACATTATCAAGGATAAGTACTGGTGTCCTTGGATTTAATTATGGGTAAACGGATTAGTTGCCTTTTTTTTATGAGGTTTTAATTGTTCTTTGCCGCCGAAAGTGCGGTATTCTAACGTTAGTTTAAGGAGGCCTGGTCGGCCTAATGAACAGGAAGTAACGATGCAGCTTCATTGTATGTGACATTGATCCTTAGTTGCTACAGAACAAATATTCGCACGTTGTAAATTGTTAACCCCAAAAAACAGGCTTAGCTTTTGGACGTGTTAATTCTACCAAGGAGGTATAAAAATATTATACCTTATTTTTATACCTCCTTGATTCTACTAAAAAAAAATTCTACTTTTCACCACCTTTAATCAGTCATTTTTCAGCAGATTTATGGTAGCAAAGAATCATGAATATATAAAATATATCCCACGGTTTTTGTTAAATTTGGATAATATTTTCACCATACCATTTCCCGGTTTTACGTGTTCTGTGACATCTGCGGATCACAAAAATACTATCCACGTTTGCAAATGCTACCTAGTTAAGCTTAAATACTGTACCGTTAATTCAGACGAAATGCAATTAATTTATTAATAAGCCTATGTTTAACTCTGGCATATTATTCACAAAATTTAATGCTATCAAAATGATTTTTAATTAACAAGGTTATTTCAAACATAATCGGTATTTTTATGATCCTTGGGAACCATAATGCCTAAGAATTAACAGAAAACGAAAAATAGTCTAATTTTGACAAAGGTTTTTGTAAACTGGGTGATATTTTAACTTCCCATTCTTGTGTTTTGTGGCACCTACGGATCACATATCGATTTTTACATTACTCTTGGGAACCTTTAATGCAAATTCAAAAAAAAAATAGTCCATTTTTTGCAAAAATGCAAAACTCATGATTTTTTTATCGAAATTTGACGCTGTTTTACCCTTCCATTTTCGGTGGTTTTGTGGCACTTACGGATCACATAATCGTTATTTTCATAATCCTAGGGTACCATATAAATGTAAGAATCTCAAGAAAATTATAATTGAAAAATAGTCCAGTTTTGGCAAAAACGCAAGTTTGTAAATGGTTGTGTCAAGTTAGTGCAGTAGTGGGGCTTGGTGATTGAGTGAGGAACTACAGTACTTGAGAATAATTGCGTTTCTTTGAATATTTCCAAGCGTGGGGCTTTTTTTTTTTTGGGGGGGGGGGTGTGCACACTACCTAATAGTTGAGTTGATACAATAAAAGAGAGCAGAACCAGAAGAACGAAATTTCTATTGACTGAAATATATTAGCTATTTTGGTGGTTAAGTATTATGTAGAAACTTATGATAAACGACGAAATATAGTATCTGTGTGCTGTGAAAAATCCCTCCAATATGATGGACTAACAAAAACAACAAAAAAGTTGATCATTCTATTTTTTGTAAATCTTTTAATACACTACAATATTTACATGGATGGAATGTTTAAAAGTTAAAAGAAAGCATTTTTCAAGGTGATTAAAATCAAGGGGAAAATATGTGAGCTCATAAGAATGAGGTACGTAAAGTATTAAGTGTTTTGTTGTTTGGGTGAGTGCTCCCACTCAAGTCCTTACTCAGACTCAAGCCATTCTTGTTACTCTGAGAGTCATTCATAAATGTCATGTTGTTCTTTTTCTTGCATTGAAACTAGTTGCACCTAATACTTAAGTCGGAAGCGACATGATCACACTGGGCAACTAGAGCTACTATGTCGCTTGTAGTTGTAAAGTACAGTAGTGGCGATATCGTGAGTGGAAGTCAACATCATTGCTACTCTAGTTCCCAATTTGGAGAAATCCCCTCTGGGCATAGGCTTAGCTAGCAAGCCCTCTGGCCGTCTTTTGGATGGCCTACAATTATTTAGGACGGCCACTTTTCCCGCGACGGCCTGGACGGCTTGGCCTAATCAACTTGGCGTAGCCTAATTGGGCACGGTCTACCTTTAGCAAATTTCATCGGCTCAGTGCCACGCCAACTGGCTTCCATTTTGAACGGCCTATATTGTTTTTCTGGCTAAGCCCCTGCTTCTGGGAGATGTTTAAATAAGCTTTTGTAAAACACATCTAATCTTATTTAGCTGCGCATGGTCATACCCATCAACGCTGACTTCCGTGAGACGATTGATAACAAAGCAGTAAAAACATGCAAATATTAAGAGTTTCAGGAGATGGGTTGTTTTCCAAAGATTCTTGCTTGCTTGCGGGAGTGTGGGAGGCTGTCCCGATTTCCTGGAGCTCCCTGTGATTTCCAGGAGACTTGGAACCAGCAACTAGTTGAATTGAGTGGGTAACAAAGGTGATATAATCTTAGCCTAACAGACCAGCTACCAACTGATTGAAGTAAAATAAATAATCACTACTGTCCACCATATTGACATCACCATATCCACACCCAACATTAGCCTCAAGTTATCCAGACAGTATGTTACAATCTACTGAGTTTGAAGCTGGATTGAAGAGTCTAAAAATCATTATCACTGTCCTCATCCTTCTGGACCCGACGACCTCCTCGAGGACCTTCAACCTCCAGCTCATCGCTGTCGTCATCATCATCATCATCTTGGTCATCAAGGAGGTCGTCATCATCGACATCAATACTGCCATCCGTTCCTGACGACTCACTGTCATCATCCTGTAAACATAATTTAAATTATTGTATTACTTAAATTACTGGCAGGAACATTCAATAATATCTTCATACATTGTTACACATATCCAAATAAGCAATTAGTATAGCAGTTTTCCATGCACTATTAGAAAGTTAGTAAACTAAGGTCAGTATAATAATATATTCTTTTGTATTGCACATGATCATTATTATAAATAAAACATAATATAAGTTAAAAGATATACAGTATTCCATAAATATAATATATCTTTAAAAACAATATTAAACAACAGCCCTGAGCCTGAGCTTTTATAGTCAGATTCAAGAAACATTAGTATGTTATGTATTGTATTCATTCATTCATTCATTCATAAAGGTATTTTATTCAAAAATAATTGTAATTGCAGTATTAAAGACTGAATTGTAACAATTTTACAAATTCAAAAAAAAGGAGACATTAAAAAAGGCAAGAGACAAACTTGGAACGGACATTAAAACCATCAGGCACTTAAAATTTTAAAAATATTTTTAAAATCTATACACGACAACAAATACATAAACTGATGAGACATGCAAAATGGTGTATAAAACACCAACTAGCTATATTATAGCTATATATATTGCACGATAACCACTCTAATGTACTTACATCATCACTTAGTTCTCCTCCCATGTTACCAAACACCTTTGCATTCCGAACAGGTTCTGTAATAAATAATAACAATAGTTTTATAAAATAAAGGTATATAGTGATCCAAATAAATATATATATCCGGTTGGAGACATATTTTTCTCACAATTGTTGAAGAACTTTATCATGATGGTGCATGATGCATCAATTGTTTCTAAAATTCAGCATTGTTTTTATTATTTACCTATTCATTATTATTTATATATGTTCAGTGCTATGCAGTGTACGATGATTTATATAGTCATATATATTTAATATTTAATTCCTTCGAGCAAATACATATATATGTTACTATCATTTAGAAATAATAATAAACTTTTTATCAGCTGATTGGTTAATAGCCAATGAATTGATCAGTCAATCAATAAATCAATTCCAACCTTGACGCCTCCTTGGGGGAGGTTTCCGAGGCTCATCGTCATCAGTAACGGAGCTTCCCTCATCATCTTCATCGTCAACATCATCATCATCTTCATCTAATCCTGGGATCTCTTCCCCACCAAATATGTCCCCACCGGAAATGCCCTCCTCCTCTTCTTCCTTGGCACGTGATTGCATCTGCGAGAGCATGTTCGCGGAATCCTGGAAATGATCACATCATCAGAGAAATGCATATAAAATTATACCATTCATCATAGATTGTTTCTCTCTGTGATCAATTTATCCTCTCTATGTCTCTGTTCTCCTATTGGCAATAGTGGCATAACAGCTAAAAACTCTTACTGGCTTTAAGCCAGGTGCCCCAGACCTTAAGAAGGCCGGGATATTCATAATTGTTTGCCCAACATCGGTGCAGCAGGGCCTCTTAAGGAAGAGCAGAATGTAAAAAACCCTATCAAAATGCACCCTTAAACACCAAAGCGGGTGGGATTTGCCCTGTACCACACTGGGCTCCAATTGAACCCAGTCCTAGCCCTCGGGGTGAAAAGGCCCGAAGAAGCAAGGGCCTTTGAGGTTCGTTGTTACAATAGTGTTGTGAAGCATTGTCAACACTATTTGATTAATATTTTTATTACCTCAAACTCATCCTGATCAGCTCGTTGCTGCTCCTCCAAGCAGTGCTCCATATAGGACATATTGCGGAATCTTTCAATGAATATCTAACATGGAAGAAAGAAAATTAAATATTTTAAAAATTTCTTTTAATTCCAACAGCAAGTAATTGGCCAATTACACTATGAAATCATGTTTTATAAAAGCTAATGAATGAAAGATGAGCATCCAAAATTTCTGTCCTGATTATAAAATTTTCTTTGACAAGAAATTGTTGTAAGCCCATATATAGTCACGATGTGTCTATATATGGTGATGATGTGATGTCATCATGACCATATTTAGGCATGTCACATGTTTTTGTCATTTAAAATTTGATAATGTGGACAGGGGCTTAACATCATGCTATACAGCTCCACGTGTATACAGTTGCCTGTAGTTAAATCCTAGTAAACCCCAAAAAAATGAAAACTTGGAATAGCTCATTTTAAAAGGGTTAAATAAGTTTGAGACTTCTAATGTCATATAGAGATTGAATTATGACTGATTTGATTTTGTGTTTTTTTTCACATCCAAAAGCAAGTACACTCGCCACTTACAGGATGGAACGACGCTTTATAAACAAAGTCTCTTTATGAGGCTCAGGGAAGTGGAGTTGTTTTTAGTTGTGAGAAAAAGTCCTGCTGTGACAGGAATTGAACCCAGGAAGTTCATCTGAAATTCATTAAAACTGGTTATCTGTCAATTTAAGAGTTTATGCAACGTACTTAAAAACCGTATTAATTGCACATCTGTTAATTGGAAGGGAAATATTTTTGTTTATTTTGATTTTAAAATTTATTTTAATTATAAAATCGAAATCTAAGATTACCAGCTAGTACAAGCAATTTATGATAAAAAAAATCTTACTTCATATTGTTTTTCAAGTTCAACTTCCAGACGTTCATATTCATCCATATAAGCAGGTCTGCCAAGAAAAAAATTAATATAATAAAAATAAAGAGAAAACATTATAAATTTAAAATGATGGTAATAATAATAATAATAATAATAGTAATAATAATACAGGTAATAATAATAATAATTAATAATAATAATAATATCTTATCATTTATATAGTACCTGACTTGTTGTAGAGTTCTTAAACGTTTGTTGTTCCTTTCGAGTTCACTCTTCTTTTTATCAATTTTTACTTCTAAATTTGCTTCATCCGCTGCTACATTCTCAAGCTGTTTCTGGGTCTTTTTTATTTGTTGCTGAAATGAAAATATGATCTGAATTTAATAAAATATAATGGTATTTGAAAAGATAAATATAATAATTTAAAAAATATAATAATTAAATAACCTAAAAATAATTTTAACCTTATGAGGTAAATATCTGTCTGCTATAAGGACAATAATTATTTTTAATTATATATATATATTTTTTTAGAAAAATTAATTGCCACCATCAGGATTCGAATCCAAGACTTTTGATTACAGTTCGGATGCTCTACCAACTGGGCTATGCGGCTGGCTGGTATATAATGTTTTCTTAAGGGGATTGCATAATACACAAAGTATTATTAATAAATCATATGATAGTAGTTTTGGTATGGGAAAAAACCTTCATCAGAAACCAAAGATATTGTATATAAAGATGGTATTTACGGCCATAAGAAAGTACACTGTAAAGGGGCCACTACACATTCTTATACAAATAAAGAGGACAATAAACAAATGGTACTAATAATATTTTTACCTCAACAGCTTTTATTGATCCCCTTAATCCCTTCTCAATCTCGTTAATCTCAAGAGGTCTGTTAATTGCTGTAGACCGCATTTCCTGCAATATAGGCAATGTCAAATACATATTTCAGAATATTTTCTATATTTTGTATATCAACATATACAGTATATATAAAAATACATAAATGTGAATTATGAACTATAAACAATACAATGATAATATAGTAAAAGTTGCAATTATAAAATAATAAGTTAATACTATTTCAAAATAATATTAAATTTAATTATATAATAATATTAACCATAATATATCCTTCACAATAAAGAAAAATCAACAAAATCATTGACCATAATGCTCTACTTTCTCAACTCACCCTCAATTCGACCTCTTGGCCCAACAGGTCATATAACGCTGCCCCTTTTGCGGTTACCTCTGATGCCAGCAGCCTTGATGTCTTTAAGTCTGATATCTAGAGGAAATTCATACATGGATTACTATTTCAACTTTTAATATTCAATTTTATAATCAAAGAAATAATAAATTGGAAAGGGAATATATACCCTGCCCCCTACTCCCACACACACACGACGACACAAATCAGCTCTCCCATGTCAATACTTTTAGATGCACCATTGCTGTTGGGTGAGAAAGTAAATAAATTTAATATCACATCATTTATATTATAATATTTGTTGTCAATTAATACCTTTGATGAGATGTCATAGGACAACATGCCAGAGATGCCATCATCAACATCTTCAGACTCTTCCTTCTTGTTGATCTTCATGGCATTGTACAGTACAGAGGTGACCTTCAGGAGTTCCTTGACAGCATAGCCATCAGCCTGGTACAGCTTCTTTGTATTCAACTTGATATGAGCTTTGGTTGCCTGTGGATGATAAATGCATCACTTTTTACACAATACATTACACCATAAGCCTATTGGCAACACTGGTTTAATGAAATGAAAAATATTAGTAGCACAAATAGTAATAAAAAAGAGGCTGTGGATACTACTCCAACAATTTCACATAAATCTGAGGTGTTGACTGGTGGAGCTGGCTTTACCCTAACCATAAAATTCAGTCTCGCTATCTTAATGCATTACGGCATGTCTGAAGAATATCCATGGTGTACATAAAGCAAGCAATTAACAACAAAAAACACTGAAGAATCTAACCATAAACTGAGCAACAGATTTAACAAATATGACCCTGTCTTGTTCTGAATCTGTGTCAGTGGGTATGTCAGCATTTGGGTCATAACGTTTCACAAGCCAAATCAGAACTTCTGCTACCAACGCAAAGTTAGGCATTCGGAAATTTTCCATTGAGATTAGACGAGGGTAGCCCAAAGCCCGCATCATCTCAGTAAAATCTGTAATGTATAAAATAGGTACATTATAATATCATGTCTGGAAGTACTTTGAATACAAGGTGCCTATGCAGTGGCTGTCTCTTATACACA